TAAATAAATAAATGTATTCAATATTACAAATCTTAAATGAATAAAAAAAGAGTCAATTATTTAAATGAACATAAATTTGTATAAAAAATAGTATAAAAAGATTATCCCTAGATTATTTTTTGGATAAATATTACTAATGTGATGGAATTGAATTCGTCAGAAGATAAAACAGAATAAAGAATCTACCTTTCCAATTCTAGATAATAATTAATACTCCTCTTTTTTTTTTTTTTTTGTTTTGTTGGGTCGTGTATGATGAAGTGTTGTCTTTGGTTGTTCTTCAGCATGCATTAATTTTACAAACATTTTTCATCATCTTTGTTTCGTATGAACTGTAAATTAACTTGCCGAGAAAGCGCTCAATTCGGAAAGTATTGCTAATTAAAAAACTGCTTACTTGAGAGAGTTTAACATTTTACTTTAGTTTAAAGTTAATTACTACTTGGAATTCCGAGCTCTTACTAATAAAGTGTGCCCAGTTTTGGCCAAAATAATTACGATGTATTTTTTCAAAATTATATAATTAAACAGAAGAATTTATTATTAATATTTATAGCATTAAGAGTTACTTAAAACCTTCAGCTTCTGCTGCTATAGTTAGGAAAACACATAGAGTAAAACTCTAAAAACAAGAGAATCCAGATGCCAGATTGGCTGGTGCATTGAAAGCGTTAAGACTTCCAGCAGCAGAACCTTCTTTCCTGCCACCAGTACCAGGGCCTATGTTGACAGGGCCACCACAAGGAAGTGTAGAATTGAACCACCGGTTTCAAAGTTTGTAACTACTGAATTCCTTTCTTTTTAATTAACACGAATATAGGAGGTGTAGAATTGTAAATGAATTCCATAAATTTTTAATTAGACTACACACTAATATAAGGAAGACTATTGTATCTATTCTTAATTAATTTTAAATTATATGTAAATATTGTATTAAAACTTACATATTTAATTTTTGTACTTCCAATTAAATCATGTTTGGTTTAACTATTTTAAATAATCTATAACTAATAGTGGATATCCATAATTGATATTTTTTATTTTTTATAATTTCAAACACTATCAACTATTAAATATTAGTTGTAAACTTTATACTCTTCATAAGAGGTCAAACCAATTGAGCCTAACGATTCCTCCTATACTAAAATTTTTAAAAGTCTTCTTGAGATAATTATGAATCAGAAAGCAGTTTTCCTAAAGATAAATTTTTTGCAGTTCGCACTTAAAAAGCGGCACTGTTTTCTCATGGTAGAAAAAAACACATGTTTTCTCTTCTTCTCTTCACTCTCAGGTTCAGAGACCTCTATGTTTTTTTTTTTTCTTCTCTTTGCATTCGATTCCAAATGGCTGAGCCTCTCCTGTCCAACAAGATTACTCCTCTTAACTTCTTCTAGTCTTACACAAAATCCTTTTTTTTCAACTGGGAGTTTATATATTCGGGGAAAAAAAAAGAAGTAAATTTACAAAAACAGGCTAAGGATGTAAATCAGGATCTTTGCTGATCAAAAAAATGAAGATGTAAATCAATATCTTTGCTGATCTTTTTCAACTGGGAGTTTACAGATGGGTTGTGAGGAACATGAGCGTTTTGGTATTCTAAGCAATACTTTCATTTTGTAAGAGTTAAAATATTGTTTATACTTATATTCCAATATATTAATAAAATATTCTTTTTATTTGCCGATTAAAAAGATATAATTTGCCCAATATAACAAAGCAGCAGAATTAATTTATTTATATTTTGTAGAATTAGGACTTACGTAACACCATCAGTGTCTGCTGCAATATATTTAGGCAACAAACATACTACTCTTAATAAGGTGGTCTATTTATTTCCGGACCACAAGTTGGCTTGTCCATTGAAAGTGTTGACACTGCCAGAAGCAGAGCCGGAGTTCAGTCCTCCAGCACCAGGGCCAACGTTGATACGGCCACCATAAGCCCCAGTGACACTCCACATTCCACCACTGACATGGTTAGATCCAGAACCTTGGCCATAGTTCTGGCTTCCAGAACCAGTGCCAAAGTTATTCGCTCCATTGTTGTTGACACCGTTGCCCCAAGCCTGAACGCCATTTCCCGTGCCGCCGAAGGTCGACATTTTTCTCTCTTGAAACTTAAATAAGTTTGATTGTTCTGCTTTGCTCTCTTGATGAATATTTGCTATCAATTCAGGTCCTTATATAGACATAGGAGGAGAACATAAGCTTTTAAAAAAATGAAGGGTTAATGGAAATAAGCACCTGATTCTCGGACCACTACTTCAAGATATATACATATATATATATTTATATATAAAGAGATCTATCTATACGTAAATTTTACACATTATATTTATATA